TTACTATACTGTCCCACTGTTATCCCCATTTTCGAGGTGAGCCACCAGAGCACAGTGAACTCCCTTCCTAACTTTTCTAGTAACGAACAGGACTGAGATTTGAAAGCTCAACTCCAAAGCCTCTGCTCTTAGCTACTTTGCTGTAATGTAAGTTCCATGAGGGTGGGGGGCTTGTCCATCCCTTTTACTGTGTCTCCAGTACCTGGAACAGTGCTTGGCACATAGGAGCCCGATACATACTTAGTGGGTAAATGAATGAAGGAATATGCCCTTCTAATCTCAGTGTGTTTCTAAAACCATTCCTTTGTATCTGCAGAATTTAGCAGACTCTCCTTATACCTATTTTCTGTCCTAAAAACAAAATGAGACTTTTATCCAGAGAGTACGCAGGTCTTGAAAACATGGGTAAGTTTATTCTTCCTTTGTGTCATAAATGTTTATCGAGCTCCTACTAGATGCAGGACACCATGCTAGGCCCTGTGTGAAGTAAATATGGAGGCAATGTAATGGAGTCTGTTCTCAGAGCCACGTTGTGAAAGAGGTGATTTTGCGGGTGGCTTTGTTCTTAAGAGGAATCCTCAGTAACCTCTTCTTGGAGCAGATGTGGAGGCTTATGGATTTGGGGTCCGTTCTCTCAGTTTGGCAAAATTAGAAAATAAGTCCTGGTGTTGCACCATCTGTGTCAGTGACCTCGCAAAGCCAGGTCTGTGTCAGGCCCTGATTCTCGTGGTACCCTGACACAGAGCTGAGTTTTGATCTTGTCAGGAATGCAAGAGTCCTGCATCACAGGCAGATAAACTCCAGGCTTTGATCTAGAGGTCTGGTTGGTTTGTAGGCTCCTGAACAAAAGATGGTATTTGCAGATTTTAAGAAGTGTTTCTTCCTCTCTCTTTTCTCCCTGGATGTTTATAGAAAGCTTGGGGATTTTTCTACACTTTTTAACCAAGCAAAGACTGGTTCTTCTAGCAGATGCTGCATATTTCCCTCATAAATTTTGAAAAAATAAACTTCCTCTTCTAACAGAGCAACAGGAAATATGAAAGCCAGAGGTTGTCTGCTGAGATGGTTTGCAGCGGGTGCTGACCTTTCACTTCCTAGACCCGTACTAACTGCACTGCAGAGTCTGAAGAAAACCCCCGTCATATCAGAAAGTTGGTTTGAAAAAACAATTCAAATTAACAAAGATAGGGCTGGGTCAGGAGTGGAATTTCCAGAGGGAGTAGAATGAGAACTGCAGTTTGTTGAAGTTTTTATATTCTATTCAGCCCACGAGTTTTTCTTCCCCTATTTGTGGGGAAGGACAAGGAAGTTATAATGCTATAAAAAGGCACAGAATTTAAGTGCCCTGAGCCCTTCTTAGTTTCGAATGTAGAGACCTCTCTCTCCGTTCCACAAGCAAGATACACTACAGGCTCCGCACTTTGTGATTTGAAATGGCTGCCTTTATTTTCTTAAAAATTAGTATCTTTTGTTGGTAAGCACTCACAGTTTGCAAAGCATCTTGGCAGAAACCTCATTAGATCCTCATAGCTTCCTTCTGAGGAACATAGTGTAGGCATGAGTATTAATCCCAATTTATAGATGAGTAAACTAAGGCTTAACTTGTCACGCTGTAACTACCCCCTTGACCCTATAAAATAAACTGGACTATCTCCATGTTCTTGCTAGCCCAACAAAGAACATTGCCGTTCCTAGCTGACACTGTCAGCTTTTCATCACAGCCTTACGGCCTGAAAGATGAAAGATATGATATTAATGGGAAAATTCAGCTGCAATGAGTACAAGCAGGTCTCTTGAGTGACTGTCTTTCCAGAGGGATAGTTAAAGGATGCTCCATCTTGGTCTGAGGCCCCATCCAGATTTGATGTTCTTAATTTCCTATTCTTGGCATTGGGGACTTGTATGGGTTTTGGCTTTGCCTCCAGCTTTAGCCTTTTTTCTGCTGTTCTATGAAGTAAGGATTTCCTTCTCTGACCTCAGATTCCCATCTCTTTCTTAGCCCCTCTGCTGATGTAAGCTAGTCCTTTTTCAGGACTTGGCAAAGTTCAGACCCAGCAAGTATGGCGAAGAGCCAGGACTTAAACTCAGATCTTGTGATTCTGAGACTGGTTCCTCTTTTGCCCGGTGCCACACAGCTGCCTGCTCACTGCCGCATGACAGCTGCTGCTCCAGCAGGAACCTACAGGGAGCCCAGATAAAGGAAGGAGATGGAAGGAACAAGACACTGTGCTGACAGTACCCCTGCATATCGGCGTGGAAAGATGGCCGGTGGCTTTCTTTCTTTTTTTGGCTTAGCCTTTTTATTTTTTTACATTTTTTTTTATTTTTCAGTTACAGTTAACATACAATAGTATATAAGTTTCAGGTGTATAATCCAGTGATTAGACATTATATAACTTGCCAAGTGATCATGCCAATAAATCTAATACCCATTTCATACCATATGTAGTTATTACAATAATATTGACTATATTTCCTATGCTCTACTTTACATCCCTATGACTATTCTGAAACTACCAATTTGTACTTCTTTTTAAAAAATGATTTTTGTTTGTTCTATTACAGTTATCCCAATTTTCCCCCCTTTTCCCTCCTCTGCCCAGTCCACCCCTGCCCGCCCGGCTCCTGCAGTCATTCCCCACACGGTTGTCCATGTCTGCGCGTTATTCATACCCGTTCTTTGACTTATCCCTTCCCTTTCTTTCCACTATTCCTTCCTCTCTCCTCCCCTCTGGCAGCTGTCAGTCTGTTCCATGTTTCCATGTCTCTAGTTTTGTTTTGCTCATTATTTTGTTCATTAGGTTTCTCGTATAAGTGAGATCATATGGTATTTTTCTTTCAAGGACTTTGGTAAGGGAGGACATCTATCAGCCAAGAGAGGGTTTAAAAAATGAACCTTCAAAGATAACAAGTAAACAAAGCTTTGAGCTCAGTATTTCCTTGTTTGCTTCTGCCCCCTAGAGGAAAAAAAATTCCATTATTACAGATATGTGAGTCCTGAAAGAAACCACTTGGAATAAAACAGCAACAATGGAACCCAGGACCTAGTCTAGGTTGTCTCGATGTACAGTCCTGGGTTTCATCCTGAGCGCAGTGCTGGGAACTGAAGCCTTGCCCACTCCCTCAGAGCGATGGCCAGAGGCCGCGCTGCGAAGGCTTTTCTGCTTCCCTGAGGTTCTGTGATGACCTGTGAGTTATTTAATAGGATAGCGGCAACCTGTGTATCATGTCCTTCATTTCCCTGGTAATACTTACTTATCACAGGGTTTTAAGGAGGTTGGCACCTTCTTTATATGTCTTAATTATTATGTGATATACATGATTCATTTTTTTCCATTTTGCCTGTGGGCTAGGCAGAGGAGAAAAGTTAGTCCCACTACAGTCCTAAATCTTGGTTATTGCCATTCCCTTTTCCTGACAGGAGAGATCAAAGAACTGAGCTGATGACTTATTTATCTAATTATGTATGCAACACACTCCAAAATTTAGAGGCTTAGAAGACCAAAACTGTTATCTCTCCCAGTTTCTGTGGGTTGGGAATTTACTAGTGGCCTAGCTGGGCTGTTCTGGCCCATAGTTGTCTTAGGAGGGAGTGGCCAAATGTCAGCCAAGGTCATCTGAAGCTCAAGTGGGGGTAAAGGATAATCTCAGGTGGCTCACTCATGTGGCTGGGGGTGTTGGTGCAAAGTTTTGGTTCTTCATGTGGGCTCTACATGGGACTGCTGAGTATTCTCAGGACAGGGCAGCTGGCTTCCCCTAGGAGGAGCAGTTCAAAAGAGAGGAAGAACCAGATGGAAGCCATATCCTTTTCGGGATCTAGATTTGGAAGTCATAGTATCCCTTCTGCCACATTCTACTCTTTAGAAACGAGTTACCAAGTGTGGTCCACATTCAAGGGAAGAGAATTTCTCTATATTTTTACGTGGTACCTTCTGTTATGTATTTCCTCTTGATCCTTTTCTGTGATGCCAAGGCTGGTATGAGATGGGATCCCTTTGTTCTTTGGTGGAAGTAATAACTGTTCTAATTACTATTGTGTTGTTTGGTTTGGGGCGAATGCAGTGATAGACTTCTGAAAGACCATTCCCCAGGGGAAGAAGAGCCGTAGGCATGTAGTCACATGACATGGAAACAAACCCAGAGAAGTTCATGGGTTAATAAGTTTGGGTGACAACCTGAATTAGGAGATACTTGTTTAGCCTCTGGGCTTTGGACAGAACAGGGTTTTTTTCCCCTGCAAATAAACTAAAAACTGGAAGCATCTCTCAGACAAGGAGCAGAAACTTAACGAGTGGCTCAAAAGAATGTGGGATTTTTGAGTGAGGAAGAGAAAGATGTCTCTCCACTATTTGGAAGATAAAACAATTCAGGAGGCTGTGTTTATTTCTCCCATGAAGCTAAACTGAGCAGATGGGAAAGAAGTGGACTGTGTAGAGTGTCTGGGGTTCTAAGGCCGTAGAAACTTCTAGAGTGTGGACACAAAGATTTTAAAAAAGACAATAGGAACTAATTTTCATTGAGTACCAGGAGCTTTATTTGTTTCATCTCATTCAGTCCTCACAGCGTTCTCATAGTGTGGGCATCACCACTTCCATTTACAGCTAGGAAGAACCATTTCCTAAAGATCGCGCTGCCCATCGATGTGGCAAGGTCAGCAGACTCAGTCTGCTTTTCCTCCAGTGTTCCACAGCTTCTGGAGTCAAAGTCAATCCAGGATTCCTGGAAACTAGAAAAATCTTTGGGGACACTGTAGGAAATCTTGGCCAAGGGTTCTCACTGCTTAGTTGGAGGTTACACTGGGAAACAGGTTGTGAGAGGAACTGGGGAGTCTGGAAATAGTCACAATTTACACCCTAGGGACCCCCATATCATCCCCCAGCAGGTGGAGGTGAAGGGTCTCGTGACCCATGCTACCCTTTCTTCAGCTGTTTGGATCTAGGTTTGGATCTGAGCTCTGCAGCTGTATCCATTCTTATGTACTTGTCTGTTTTTTTCCCCAGAGCTTCTTCGGGACACCTTCACTTCTCTGGGCTATGAAGTCCAATGTTTCTTGCTTCTGACTATGAAAAATATAATTCATATTCTTCACCAAGTTGCCCATATGCCTCGACACCAAAACTACGACAGCTTCGTGTGTGTCCTGGTGAGCCGAGGGAGCTCCCACAGCGTGTTTGGCGTGGATCCGTCTCCGTCAGGGTTCCCTTTGGATCGCATCAGGAGGATGTTCATGGGAGACACATGCCCTTATCTCTTAGGAAAGCCAAAGCTCTTTTTCATTCAGAACTATGTGAAGGCAGAGAGCCATCCGGAAGACAGTGGCTTCCTGGAGGTAGATGGGCCAGAAGTGAACAATGTGGATTCCAAGGTGAGGCAGCCTGGGCCTTGCATGGTTCACCGAGAAGCTGACTTCCTCTGGAGCTTGTGCAAAGCAGATGTGTCTGTGCTGGAGCGGGCCTCCACCTTGCCATCCGTGTACCTGCAGTTTCTCTCCAAAAAACTGTGGCAAGAAAGGTGAGTCACCCACACCGTGGCTGACCCTTCGACCACTTGTTTATTTTCCTGATGCTGATATGGAGGTGCCCTTCATGGCCGAGAAGAAAGAGAATTTTTTAATTCTCTGTTGGGGTTGCCTTAGGAATATGATATATACTCTGCATGGAGTATAAATGCTTCATGCTTTAGGAGGTCACTTAGTAGTCTGCTTATAGTTTCGATATTTTTCTTCAAAATGAAGAACTTTTAATTGTTATTTTTTTAATTATAAAAATGATACATACTCCATATTGGAAAAAAATAATTAAAAGTAGAGGCTGATAACAGAACATATGAAGCAGTTATAATCCTACTTTTAGAACCAACTTCTGTTAACCAAATTTTGATATATTGCCTTCCAGATCTTTTTTGGATACCCACACAATCATATATTAATATTTTTAAAGCCAAAACAGAATCACCACCTACTTTTACCTTATAATCTGCTTTTAGTTTGTGCAACAGTATATCACAAAATTTTTACATGTCAGTAGTCACATTTCTATAGCATTGTTTTAATGTCTGCAGAGTAACCCATAATATGGCTATAACATAATTTACTTGCTCAATCTTCAAATCACTGGACTATGTTTAGCTTTCACAAGAAGAAGGTGTTAACGTCTTTGTTTTCTTGGGAATAATCCCAGAAGTGGGATCGCTGTGTTGAATGATACGCATTTTTTAAAGCCTTTCATGCATCTTCTCAGGTCGTCCTCCAGCACAGTTAGACCAGCTTTGTCTGAGAGTACGTGCGTCCCTGAGCTCTCATCGACACTACATGCTTTTATATTTCTCTGAGTCTTGACAATTGGATAGGTAAAAAGTGGTACCTGACCATTCAGGTCTGCGAGTTTTTATCGTATAGACATTTTTGATATTTATTGGCAAAAATACTTTTCTAAGGGAAACATTGGTGACCTCGTTTCCGCTGAAGTTGATGAAGCTACCCTCTCCCTCAAATGTAAGATTAGCAGTCTTTTTTTCAGTTGCTCCCCAATTACAGTTTAGAATGATACTTCTAAGCCACCTGTGAAATGCATCCTGTTGTAGCTCTGGGGACCCAAGGAATAGATCTTGTGGCCTGAGACCCCCAACCTCTCCCTGGTGGTTCAGCAGTGAAGGTACTGCTGAAGCAGGAGTGACTGACTCTGCTTTCCAAGGTGGATGCTCTGTGGGCCAGTGGTATTATAGCCTTTTTATGCGCATCCTGCCTTTGCTTAGGCAATCCAGGTGGGTCATCATTTAGCTGTTATGTCTTCAGAGTAAGACTCAGGGGTCCCTTGACAAAGGGGACTGATGTCACTGGGCCAAAGTGCTGCGAGCTGGTTTGAATCATTCATGAAGCAGCTTGTAGAGTATTTAGAAACGTGCAATTTCAAAGCACTTTTACCTCAGTTGGCTCATTTCACCCTAATGACAATCTGTCTCCTCTTTGATATTTGTGTGGCATTAATTTTTGCCTTTCTCCTTCTCTCCAGAAGGCGACCACTTCTGGAACTCCACACTGAACTGAATGACAGTGTGTATAACTGGAACAGAGGCGTGTCTGATAAGGAGAAGTATTATGTCAGTCTGCAGCATACCCTGAGAAAGAAACTCATTCTCTCTTGCAATTGAAAAGCCAATTAATTCTCCACATGCTTCTATATAAACAAGTTCTTTATATAGAACTAAAATGTAGAACAACCATCACAAATTGAGCTCCGTAGACTTCCAGTTAAGATAGAGGTGTAGGAAGACACATTTTACCTCCTCGAACAACCAAAAGACCAACAACAAATTTAAAGACAAAAAATAACAAGAACATAAATCGAACTGTATGGAAGTCCAACAACCGAGGAGTTAAAGGAGCAACATTCATCCAGACTGGTAGGTGGGGCGGAGACAGGCAGCAGAGGCCGTGTGGCAAGGTGGTGGCTAGAGGACCAGGTGGGCGAGGAGGCAGCTGGCAGACAAATGGTCCTACATTTGTGTGCAGATAGACCAGGAGGAACAGCTGGGAAATGAGACAAATCTCACAATCCAAGGTTCCAGTGCAGGAAAAGAAAGCCTCAAAACCTCTGGAGGTAAAAATCTGTAGGGGTTGTGGTGGCAGGAGAAACTCTGGGCCACAGGAGAGTCTCTTGGAGAGACCTACAGGGTCCTAGAATGTACAAAAACCCACCCACCTAGAAATAAGCACTGGAAGGTCCAATTTGCTTGTGGATAGTGGGGGAACTGGCTGAAAGCCAGCAGAGAGCCAAGCAAGCGGCATTGTTCCCTCTGGGATGCCTCCTTCATACACAGGGTCACAGCTCAGTGACCTGGGTTGCCCTGCCCTGGTGAATACCTAAGACTCTGCCCCTTCCAATGTAGCAGGTGCACTGAGACAAAGAAATATGGCCCAAATGAAAGAACAGGTCAAAGCTCCAAAAATAGAACTAAGCGATGAGCAGATAGCCAACCTATCAGACGCACAGTTCAAAACACTGGTAATCTGGATGCACACTGAATTGGTTGAGTTTGGTCACGAAATAGAGGAAAAAGTGGAGGCTATGCAAAGTGAAATAAAGAAAAACATACGGGGAACCAACAGTAAAGGGAAGGAAACTGGGACTCAGATCAGCGATTGGGAGTAGAAGGAAGAGATAAACATTCACCCGGAACAGAATGAAACATTCAAAAAATGAAGAGAGTCTTGGGAACCTCTGGGACAACTTCAAATGATCCAACATCTGAATCATAGGGGTGCCAGAGGAAGAGAAAGATAAAAAATTGAAAACTTATTTGAAAAAAATAAAAGAGAACTTCCCCAATCTGGCGAAGGAAATAGGCTTCCAGGAGATCCAGGAAGCTCCGAGAGTCCCAAAGAAGTTGGACCCAAGGAAGCACACACCAACACACATCATAATTAAGTTACCCAAAATTAAAGATAAGGAAAGAGTGTTAAAAACAGCAATAGAGAAGGCGAGAGTTACCTAAAGAGGAGTTCCCAAAAGACTATCAGCTGATTTCTCAAAAGAAAGCTTGCAGGCCAGAAGGGGCTGGCAAGAGGCATTCAAAGTCATGAAAGGCAAGGACCTACATCCAAGATTACTCTTTCCAGCAAAACTATCACTTAGAATGGGAGGACAGATAAAGTGCTTCCCAGATAATGTCAAGTTAAAGGAGTTTCATCACCAAGCCCTTATTATATGGAATGTTAAAAGGACTTATCTAAGAAAAAGACAAAAAACTGAACAGTAAAATGCCAACAAACTCACAACTATCAACAACTGCACCTAAAAAATAAACAAAACCAGAAACAAACTAAGCGAACAACTAGAACAGGAACAGAATCATAGAAATGGAGATCAGAGGGGAGGGGTGGTGGAAGAATTTGGGGGGAAGGTACAGGGAATAAGAAGCATAAATAGTAGGTATAAAATAGTCATGGGGAGGTTAAGAGTAGTGTACGAAATGGAGAAACCAAAGAACTTATATGTATGACCCATGGACATGAACTAAGGGGAGGGTGTTATAGGGCGAAGGGGAATAAAGGGGAGAAAAAAAATGGGACAACTGGAATAGCATAATCAAAAATATATATATTTAATAAAAAAGTAAAGAACATTTATATTTATAAATAATTTCAGCATTAATTAAACAGGGAGAAAAAGTGAAATGATAAAGCAAAAACCATACAGCTAGAAAGGACCTCCAAGATGACATAAGCCCCTCATTTACAGATGAAGATCCTGGGATACCCAGAGAGGAAGTGACTTGCCCAGGGTCACCCAGGAAAAAAAGAGAAATTGAGCTGAATGGAAGTCTGACAAATATGGAATTAGAAAAACCATATCCATTGAGACTGGTAGGAGGGTTGCAGACAGGAAACAGGCTGGTCCCTCACCCACGTATGGTGGATAAAAATTCAGGAGGAGTGAAGAGTCCTACCCTGACACCAAGCAGATACGTCCCCATGAATTCTGGCTGCAAAAAGCTAGCAGAGATTGAGTTGGTAGAAGAAACTCCTGACGCCCCAAGCAATTCCTCTTAAAGAACCCACACACGAACTCACCTACTCAGACTCACTCCCTCTGAATTCCAGCACTGGGTAGCAGCCTGAAAGGCACCAGTGGCACACGGAGAAACTGAAGTGTCTGGCATCAAGACAAGCAGAGGGCCACTGTCCCTTTCCTAAACAGTCCCCTGACAGAGCTGGCAAGCTAGTGCCGTCTCTGACTCCACCCACTAGGCGAACACTGTTTGACCCATCTTGGAGACCCCCAAAGACTTTGTCCCACCCAACTTACAGGCCCACCCAACCTGCTTTTCCATATGAATGGCTGGTCTTGGCTCATGATTCACAACTTCCTAAATCCTGTCCAACAAGCAACAGCTGGCCTCAGTGATCCCCAGGTCCACCCTAACAGCAGCCAGCCTAGATTCACAGCCTGGCTTCGTCTGAGGATCTCAGCCCAGCACAAGTTGCAGCCATGTCAGGTTGCTTTATAACTCAGGCATGGTGGCCCTGGGCAAAACACAGGTCGGGGCTGACCTTGGCCTGCATCACCCGGGAAGCCCCAGGGCCAGCGCACCCAGTGGACAGCTACAGACCACTTCGCAGCACCACCACCCTGCCCCTCTGGACAGCTGATCATCCATTGTGGGTGGAGGTTGGTGGTGAGTTGTCTACCAGAAACAACAACAGTTAACCAAAACTTTGTGTATTGTCCTGCAAATTTATTTCTGTATACTGAAGATCTGGAAGTAAGGCAAGGTGACTGTTTTAGTCTGCTTGAGCTGCTGTAACAAAGTACCATGGACTGGACAGCTTAATCGAACATTTATTTCTCACAGTTCTAGAGACTGGGAAGTTCAAAATCAAGGTGTCAGCAAGTCTTGGTGTATGGTGAGGGTCTGCTTCCAGATTTGCATATGGTCATCATCAATTTTTGTGTCTGCACATGAGAAAGAGCAGAGAAAGAGGAAGAAAGCACTCTGGTATCTCCCAAAGGCCTCACTTTCCCCACTTCCTAATACCATCACATCGAGGGTTAGGATTTCAACTTATGACTGTAGGCTGGAGGCATACATGCAGTCCATGACCTTGGCAAAGCCCTTATGACTTGAATGGGCTTCTAGGCAGTGAGCTACAGGTTCTTCTTAGATTGTTATGTCTTGACTTTTAATTCTTTAAAAGGGTTTTAGATGCAAGTTGTACACGCTCATCAGCTTGTGAGACTCCCCTTTCACTTTATTTATTTATTTATTTATTTTGCTCTTCAACACTGATCTGCACCCTTTGCCCTCCGCAGCACTTGCCATGGGTCAGTACTGTACTATGTTTGATGTCGTCCTTAAATATGCATGCACGCAACCTTATAAAATGAGTTTTATATGCTTATGCTTTTAAATGACATAAATGACATGCTATAAACAATAACAACAAACAGTCCATAACAGTGGCGGTTGCTTGTCCATTCATCCAGGGACTCACATGGCATTTTACAGCTAATCACATACACTTCTCTTTCTCGGATTTGAAGGTGTTACCTAAAAGGAGACCATTGTTTAAAATATCACTTAAAGTTTTTATTTTTGTTGTAAGCAGCTCCATTTATCAGAGTCAATAAATAACTGACAAACATAACAAATTTAAATACATTTTCAAAAGCTTGCCTGTATATATAAAATTCACAGACATTGTTCTTTTAAAAAAATAAAATCTGTTGACAGCACCCTTGACATAAAAAAATGCCTTACTCTTGTCCTCTGACAGGACCACTTAGCAACATCTTAAAGTAGGCGGGCTCTCTTTGGAGAGGCTGAGGCCTCCTGGAGAGAAGGAAGGGTTTCTACTCTGACCGCTTACCTCACCCACGTCCATCTGAATTGTGATCCTTCTACAAAAAGCAGGTATATAAAAGCAGACTCAGTGGATTGGGCATTGTCCCAGATCAGGACACATGCCTGGGTTGTAGTCCAGGTCCCCGGATGGCAGCATGAGAGAGGCAAACAATCAACGTTACTCTCACTCATTAATGTTTCTCTTTCTCTCTCACTCTTCCCTCTCTCTAAAAATAAATAAAATTGTGAAAAAAAAGTGAATTAAAAAAGGTGACAAATAAAAACTTTAAAAAATAATACTCTACAACATATTTGAAAATGGCTGAGTATAGGTCTTAAAAGTTCTCATCACAAAAAAAAAATCTCTAACTATGTGTGGTAATGAGTATGAATTAAAATATTGTGATCATTTCACAATATATACAATGATGAATCATTGTGTTGTACACCAGAAATTAAAACAGGATCCAGCAGAAGTAACACCTGCTTGGGTCTGCTTGATAGAGTAATAATAGGGGTATAATAATTTATAGTTTTAGTTTGAACATTTCACCTAAAATGTCATATGACATGATTGAGTGTGATATTGTTACGTTACTGAATTATATGCATGTGATTTTGTAATAAAAGATTTTGTAATTGAAAGGGGTATTATTTTTGCTGAACCCTGTAGAATGTATGTGAGCCATACCTCAATTTAAAATTTTTAATAAAAACTTTTTACATTTAACAAATTAAAATGTTTTAAACACATTTAAAAATAGACAAACAATATTACAATAATTACAAAACTGATCAGCATACTTTTTTCTTGAGTTTACTTTTTATTTGACCATTAGCTTTATTTTTTATTTTTCAATTACAGTCCACAGTCAATGTTATTTTTGTAATAGTTTCAGGTATACAGCATACTCCTTTGTAATCCTATCCAATGAGAGAGTTCTTATGACTGCGTTGGTAATGTGAACATCATCATTATTATTATACCACACTATGGAGGAGTTATTTTGGAAAGGTTGAACAAAACCTTGAAAAGTTGGTGGAATTTTGGCAGGTTGAAATGGAGAAGAGAAAATATATTGCTGGAGAGGAAACAAATCAAGTGAAGGAACAGAGAGAGGAAATACAAGGCATGTTCTAGAAACTTGGAGTGTAACTTTTAGTTGGAGTGGAAAGTGAGCAGTGGTGGGGTGGAAGCCAGGATGCTGTGGTTAGAATGTTAAGAGCCTTGAAGGTCCCCATCTTTGTCTTTTAGTCAGTTATCATGTAAGTCATTTTTCTTACTCAGTAATGGAATCTATGACTCTTTTCTTTGGCACTTTTGTATACAAGCATTTGATTACTAAATGCTAATCTTAGTTTTCATTGAGTACAGTTTATTTTGGAAGACTACAAATATAGTTACTTATTATACATACATATCATGGTACACTTTTCACTTATATTGAGTATAGTTTTCAATGAAATATTTTATTTTTATTTTTTAAATGATAAAACTTTTTTTTATTTTCAGTTACAGTTGTCCCCATTTTCCCACCATTGTCCTCTCCTGTCCTGTCCAACTCCAATTCCCAAAGACAATCCCTTCCCCCTTGTCCTTGTCCTTGGGTCCTTTGAACATGTTCCCCTTCTTTCCCCTGCTATCTCCCTTTCCCCCTCCCCTCCGGTCCCTGTCAGTTTGTTCTTTATTTCCATGTCTGGTTCTTTTTGGCTCATTTTTTCTGGTTGATTAGGTTCCACTTATAAGTGAGATCATATGGTATTTGTCTTTCACCGCCTGGCTTATTTCACTTAGCAGAATGCTCTCCAATTCCATCCAGGCTGTCGCGAAGGGGAGGAGTGCCTTCTTTCTTTCTGCTGCATAGTATTCCATTGAGTAAATGTACCACAGTTTTTTGATCAACTCATTTACTGATGAGCATTTAGGCTGTTTCCAGCACTTGGCTTTTGTAGATAACACTGTTATGAACATAGGGGTGCATAGATTTTTTTTGAATTGGTGTTTCAGGATTCTTAGGGTATAATCTCAGCAGTGGAATTGCTGGATCAAAAAGCAGTTCCATTGTCATTTTTTTGAAAAAATTCCATACTGTCTTCCACAGAGGCTGCACCAGTCTGCATTCCCACCAACAGCGTACTAGGGTTCCCTTTTCTCCACTATCTCACCAGCACTTGTTTGGTGGCCATTCTGACCAGTGTGAAGTGGTATTTTATTATGGTTTTATATGGTTTTGATCTGCATCTCTCTGATGGCTAGTGATGCTGAGCATCCTTTCATATGTCTCTGGGCCCTCTGTATGTCCTCCTTGGAGAAGTGTCTGTTCAGGTCCGTTGTCGATTTTTTAATTGGATTGTCTTCCTGCTGTGGGGTCATGTGAGTTCTTTATATATTTTGAAGGTAGTCACTAATTTCTTGTAAAACAAACTTGGCCCAATTTAGCAAAAGACTTTGACAACCATCAATATTCTCCCAGGTTGCAGTTTCTATCTCTGGTCGGGGCACTTAGGAGAAGGCAACCAATCAATGTTTCTCACATCGGTGTTTCTCTCTCTCTCACTCCCTCTTCCCCTGACTTTCTCCATGAGAACATGCAATGATTCAAAAAAATCTCTGATTCTGATTCATTCTATTTTCCAGCGCTTGGTATCACCCAGTCCTTATCACACATCTCTCTGGGCTCTGGCAAAGGTGGGGGCAGAGTGGGCTAGAGATGCCTGAGGAGAGACTGGGGAAGGAGGCCTTAGAGAGAGAACTGAGGGAACAGCCAGAAGGATCCCGATGCTGACTCCTCCCCCATACAGCAGCAGCCAGTCTTGCTCAAGGAGACCCTTCAATGAAATATTTTAGACATACTCAAGAGAATTATATTTACATAACAATATGATGAATGCTCATGTGTTAAAATATATATGAAGACTCTTAAGATATTACCTTAAGTTATAGTCCTAAATGCAAAAGAGATAAATGTACTAAAATATTTTAAATCCAATAACATCCCCAAACTGAGAATTAGCCAAGTGTTCAATAATAGGGCATGGATGGTTATGAGGTGTCTATGGCTAGAGTTTTATGTAACCATTAAAAATATATACACAAATCATAACAGCTTACTTACATTCAGCTGTTAGCTCATTTTACATGAAGTATTTCATTTAATCCTCACCTCTTTTAGGTAGGTATTATTGTCATCACTATTTATTCCTATTGTGTAGATAAGAAAAATGGCATTAAAAAGCTGAATAGCCCGTTGTATAGATACACCACAGAGTGTTCATTCACTTATTGAGAAATATCTCATTGCTTCAAATTTTGGCATTATGAATAAAGCTGCTACAAACTTTTGTGTGTTAATTTTTGTGTAGACGTGTTCAAGTCATTTGGGTAAATACCAAGGAAAGCAATTGATGAATTGTATAGTAAGCCTGTGTTTAATGTTGAAAGAAAATATTAGTGTTTTGAATTTTAGCCTTTTTAGTTGATGTGTAGTGGTATCATGTTGTTTTAATTTTTGATTACTTAATGCCATATTATGATAAGCATCTTTTCATATCCTTGTTCGTATCCTGTATATCTTTGCTGAGATGCCTGTTCAACTCTTTTGCTTATTTTTAAATTAGCTGTTTATTTTCTTATTGTTGAGTTTTAAGAATTCTTTGTATATTTTATATACAAGTTTTTTTGTCAGATATGTTTTACAAATATTTTCTTCCAGTGTGTTGTCTTTTCATTTTCTTAATTGTGTCTTTTACAGAGCAGAACTTTGTAATTTTAATGAAGTTGAACTCATCACTTTTTTCTTTCATGGATTATGCTTTTGATGTTGTATCTAAGAAATCACTGCCCCACCCAAGGTCATCTAGGTTTTCTCCTATGCTATCTTCTACAAGTTGTATTTTGCATTTTTACATTTAAGTCTATGATCCACTGTGCTATGCTGAGCTGATTTTTTTCTGAAAGATGTAAAGTTTGTGTGTTTTTTTTTGTTTTTTTTTTGCATGCCTGTTGTTCTGGCACTATTTGTTTGAAAAAAACTACTTTTTCTGCATTGAAGTGTCTGTTCTTTTGCCAAAGATTAGCTGATTAAATTTATATGAGTCTATTTCTTGACTCTCTATCTATTCCATTGATCTTTTTGTCTATTCTTTCACCAGTACACTATTGTTTTGATTACTGTATATTTATATTAAGTCTTGATGTACTTAACATACAGGAAATCTTGAATAAACAACTGTATTATTTTCATTTTATATAGAATATGTATTATTGTAACTTTAAAAAATAAAAATTACTTATTGTATGGTGGCCTAGTCTCTAATATATATAAACACAATGTTTTATGTTAAACATAAGTGGAATACTATTTTAACAGTGTTCTCTCTTTTCATGTATGTGGTCATGTCTTTATCTCTATGTCTCTGTATGATATTTAAGTCATTCAGTTTTTCACTGTTTAAATGATGATATGAAAAACTTCTCCCACTGCCCCCCCGCCCCGCCTTGTTTGGTAAGAACTTCCTACACCAGACCTAGGAATCCCATTCCCTTCTTAGTCCGTCTTCTGCCATACCTCAATCCTCTTTGAAGACTGAGCATTATTTAAAGTGACTGGCAACTTTAATCTCTCCCTTTGTCTTTGATTCTTCAGTGTAACCGAGCTTTGACTCCCCTACCAAATAAAGTTCCTCTCTTTTAAACCACTGTCTTATGTAAATTTTAGGCTGGTGTCTACTTCCTCCACTTTTGCTTTTCCCATTTACTTCATACTTCCCTGCTATCTGGATTTCACCTTAATCATTCTACCAAATCTACAAGATCCAAGGGTGACATTGACCTTACTTCCCAAACCAGTGGTCCTTGGAGTCTTTGGGGTTATTGCCCCCTTCCTCTTTCTCCAGGGTATTTTATTATATAAGTTGTATCAAGGACTTCTCTGGCCAAGTCTTCGTGGCATCTTTCTCTTCCTGATCTCTAAATGTGGACATTCCCAAGGATAACTCCTTTTTTTCTCTCCTGACAACTTTGTAGCTTAAATAACTATTGCTATGCCTCTAACAGGATGTATCTTTCTAGCCCAGACTTGTCTCTTTAAGTTCAAATCTCACCCTGCAACTTTCTGGTATATGTTTCCACTTGATTGTCCTTTTTTCACCTCAAACTCATATTCCAAACATTAAAAAGAAACAAACAGCCCTGGCTGGTGTGGCTCAGTGGATTGAGCACTGGCCTGTGAACCAAAGGATCAGTAGTTCGATTCC